AAGGGCACGTGAGGGTGTGTAGGGCACGTGAGGGCGTGTAAGGGTACGCGAGGGTGTGTGAGGGCGTGTAAGGGCACGTGAGGGTGTGTACGGGCACGTGAGGTGTGTAAGGGCACGTGAGGGCGTGTAAGGGTACGTGAGGGTGTGTGAGGGCGTGTAAGGGCACGTGAGGGTGTGTAAGGGCACGTGAGGGCGTGTAAGGGTACGTGAGGGTGTGTGAGGACGTGAAAGGGCACGTGAGGGTGTGTGAGGGCACGTAAGGGCGTGTAAGGGCACGTGAGGGCGTGTAAGGGCACGTGAGGGCGTGTAAGGGCACGTGAGGGCGTGTAAGGGCACGTGAGGGTGCGTAAGGGCACGTGAGGGTAAGGGCACGTGAGGGTGTGTAAGGGCACGTGAGGGCGTGTGAGGGCACGAGAGGGTGTGTAAGGGCACGTGAGGGCGTGTAAGGGCACGTGAGGGCGTGTAAGGGCACGTGAGGGCGTGTAAGGGCACGTGAGGGTGTGTAAGGGCACATGAGGGTGTGTGAGGGCACTTGAGGTCGTGTAAGGGCACGTGAGGGCGTGTGAGGGCGTGTAAGGGCACGTGAGGGTGTGTAAGGGCACGTGAGGGTGTGTAAGGGCACGTGAGGGTGTGTAAGGGCATGTGAGGGTGTGTAAGGGCACGTGAGGGGTGTGTAAGGGCACGTGAAGTCACGTGAGGGAGTGTAAGGGCACGTGAGGGTGTGTAAGGGCACGTGAGGGTGTGTGAGGGCACGTGAGGTCGTGTAAGGGCACGTGAGGGCGTGTGAGGGCACGTGAGGGCGTGTAAGGGCACGTGAGGGTGTGTAAGGGCACGTGAGGGTGTGTAAGGGCACGTGAGGGTGTGTAAGGGCACGTAAGGGTGTGTAAGGGCACGTGAGGGCGTGTAAGGGCACGTGAGGGTGTGTAAGGGCACGTGAGGGTGTGTAAGGGCACGTGAGGGTGTGTAAGGGCACGTGAGGGCGTGTAAGGGCACGTGAGGGTGTGTAAGGGCACGTGAGGGCGTGAAGGGCACGTGAGGGTGTGTGAGGGCACGTGAGGGTGTGTAAGGGCACGTGAGGGCGTGTAAGGGCACGTGAGGGCGTGTAAGGGCACGTGAGGGCGTGTAAGGGCACGTGAGGGCGTGTAAGGGCACGTGAGGGTGTGTAAGGGCACGTGAGGGCGTGTGAGGGCACGTGAGGGTGTGTAAGGGCACGTGAGGGCGTGTGGGTGTGTAAGGGCACGTGAGGGTGTAAGGGCACGTAGGGTGGGGCACGTGAGGGCGTGTAAGGGTGTGTGAGGTCACGTGAGGGCGTGTAAGGGCACGTGAGGGTGTGGGTAAGGGCACGTGAGGGTGTGTGTGAGGTCGTGTAAGGGCACGTGAGGGCGTGTGAGGTGAGGGCAAGGGCACGTGAGGGCGTGTAAGGGCACGTGAGTTCGTGTAAGGGCACGTGAGGGTGTGTAAGGGCACGTGAGGGTGTGTGAGGGCACGTGAGGTCGTGTAAGGGCACGTGAGGGCGTGTGAGGGCACGTGAGGGCGTGTAAGGGCACGTGAGGGCGTGTAAGGGCACGCTAGGGCGTGTAAGGGCACCTGAGGGCACGTGAGGGCGTGTGAGAGGGAGTGAGAGCCCCGGGAGCAGCCGGCCCCTCAACACTTGCCGCTCATAATTTACAAATACACAAAGAATTCTTTTCAGTTGTTTACGTTCTCCTTGGCGGGAATTTTTGTGTCGTTGGGGAGTTTTATGTTTGGGGAGGCAGGTCACAGTACAGGGGGGGGGGGCAGGTCACAGTACAGGGGGGGGCAGGTCACAGTACAGGGGGAGGCAGGTCACAGTACAGGGGGAGGCAGGTCACAGTACAGGGGGGGGCAGGTCACAGTACAGGGGGAGGCAGGACACAGTACAGGGGGAGGCAGGTCACAGTACAGGGGGGGGGCAGGTCACAGTACAGGGGGAGGCAGGTCACAGTACAGGGGGAGGCAGGTCACAGTACAGGGGGGGCAGGTCACAGTACAGGGGGAGGCAGGACACAGTACAGGGGGAGGCAGGTCACAGTACAGTGGGAGGCAGGTCACAGTACAGGGGGGGAGGCAGGTCACAGTACAGGGGGAGGCAGGTCACAGTACAGGGGGAGGTAGGTCACAGTACAGGGGGAGGCAGGTCACAGTACAGGGGGAGGCAGGACACAGTACAGGGTGAGGCAGGACACAGTACAGGGGAGGCAGGTCACAGTAAAGGGGGAGGCAGGTCACAGTACAGGGGGAGGCAGGACACAGTACAGGGTGAGGCAGGTCACAGTATAGGGGGGCAGGTCACAGTACAGGGGGAGGCAGGTCACAGTACAGGGGAGAGGCAGGACACAGTACTAGGGGAGGCAGGTCACAGTACAGGGGGAGGCAGGTCACAGTACAAAGGGGGGGGCAGGTCACAGTACAGGGGGAGGCAGGTCACAGTACAGGGGAGAGGCAGGACACAGTACTGGGGGAGGCAGGTCACAGTACAGGGGGAGGCAGGTCACAGTACAGGGGGAGGCAGGACACAGTACAGGGGGAGGCAGGTCACAGTACAAAGGGGGGGCAGGTCACAGTACTGGGGGAGGCAGGTCACAGTACAAGGGGGGGGGCAGGTCACAGTACAGGGGGGGCAGGTCACAGTACAGGGGGAGGCAGGTCACAGTACAGGGGGAGGCAGGTCACAGTACAGGGTGAGGCAGGACACAGTACAAAGGGGGGGCAGGTCACAGTACAAAGGGGGGGGGGGGGCAGGTCACAGTACAGGGGGAAGCAGGTCACAGTACAGGGGGAGGCAGGTCACAGTACAGGGGGAGGCAGGTCACAGTACAGGGGGAGGCAGGTCACAGTACAGGGGGAGGCAGGTCACAGTACAGGGGGAGACAGGTCACAGTACAGGGGGAGGCAGGACACAGTACAAAGGGGGGGGCAGGTCACAGTACAAAGGGGGGGGGGGCAGGTCACAGTACAAAGGGGGGGGCAGGTCACAGTACAAAGGGGGGGGCAGGTCACAGTACAAAGGGGGGGGCAGGTCACAGTGCAGGGGGAGGCAGGTCACAGTACAGGGGGAGGCAGGTCACAGTACAGGGGGAGGCAGGTCACAGTACAAAGGGGGGGGCAGGTCACAGTACAGGGGGAGGCAGGTCACAGTACAGGGGGAGGCAGGACACAGTACAGGGGGAGGCAGGACACAGTACAGGGGGGGCAGGTCACAGTACAGGGGGAGGCAGGTCACAGTACAGGGGGAGGCAGGTCACAGTACAGGGGGAGACAGGTCACAGTACAGGGTGAGGCAGGACACAGTACAAAGGGGGGGGGTCACAGTACAGGGGGAGGCAGGGTCACAGTACAAAGGGGGGGGGCAGGTCACAGTACAAAGGGGGGGCAGGTCACAGTACAGGTCACACAGTACAGGGGGAGGCAGGTCACAGTACAGGGGGAGGCAGGTCACAGTACAGGGGGAGGCAGGTCACAGTACAGGGGGAGGCAGGTCACAGTACAGGGGGGGGCAGGTCACAGTACAGGGGGAGGCAGGTCACAGTACAGGGGGAGGCAGGTCACAGTACAGGGGGAGGCAGGTCACAGTACAGGGGGAGGCAGGTCACAGTACAAAGGGGGGGGCAGGTCACAGTACAGGGGGAGGCAGGTCACAGTACAGGGGGGGCAGGTCACAGTACAGGGGAGGCAGGTCACAGTACAGGGGGAGGCAGGTCACAGTACTGGGGGAGGCAGGTCACAGTACAGGGGGAGGCAGGTCACAGTACAGGGGGAGGCAGGACACAGTACAGGGGAGGCAGGTCACAGTACAAAGGGGGGGGGGCAGGTCACAGTACAGGGGGAGGCAGGTCACAGTACAGGGGGAGGCAGGTCACAGTACAGGGGGAGACAGGTCACAGTACAAAGGGGGAGGCAGGTCACAGTACAAGGGGAGGCAGGACACAGTACTGGGGGAGGCAGGTCACAGTACAAAGGGGGGGGGCAGGTCACAGTACAGGGGGAGGCAGGTCACAGTACAGGGGGAGGCAGGTCACAGTACTGTGGGAGGCAGGTCACAGTACAAAGGGGGGGCAGGTCACAGTACAGGGGGAGGCAGGTCACAGTACAGGGGGAGGCAGGTCACAGTACAGGGGGAGGCAGGTCACAGTACAGGGGGAGGCAGGTCACAGTACAAAGGGGGGGCAGGTCACAGTACAGGGGGAGGCAGGTCACAGTACAGGGGGAGGCAGGTCACAGTACTGGGGAGGCAGGTCACAGTTCAAAGGGGGGGCAGGTCACAGTACAGGGGGAGGCAGGTCACAGTACAGGGGGAGGCAGGTCACAGTACAAAGAGGGGGGGCAGGTCACAGTACAGGGGGAGGCAGGTCACAGTACAGGGGGGTACAGGGGGAGGCAGGTCACAGTACAGGGGAGGCAGGTCACAGTACAGTCACAGGTCACAGTACAGGGGGGGCAGGTCACAGTACAGGGGGAGGCAGGTCACAGTACAGGGGGGGGCAGGTCACAGTACAGGGGAGAGGCAGGTCACAGTACAGGGGGAGGCAGGTCACAGTACAGGGGGGGAGGCAGGTCACAGTACAGGGGGAGGCAGGTCACAGTACAGGGGGGGGCAGGTCACAGTACAGGGGGAGGCAGGACACAGTACAGGGGGGGGGGTCAGGGGAAGGTGATACAGTACACCAAACAGAGAGGAGAGGGCGGCGGCCAGGAGCCTGAGGAGTGATTTATATCTCCCTCAACAAACTATCGCTTGACGGCTTGCAACGTAGCCAGCCCTCAGCCAGCCCTCAGCCAGCTCTCAGCCAGCTCTCAGCCAGCCCTCAGCCAGCCCTCAGCCAGCTCTCAGCCAGCTCTCAGCCAGCGATCCAGCCTCCAACCAGCCAGCCAACCCTCAGCCAGCCAACCAGCCCTCAGCCAGCCAACCAGCCCTCAGTCAGCCAACCAGCCCTCAGTCAGCCAACCAGCCCTCAGTCAGCCAACCAGCCCTCTGTCAGCCAACCAGCCCTCAGTCAGCCAACCAGCCCTCAGTCAGCCAACCAGCCCTCAGTCAGCCAGCCAACCCTCAGTCAGCCAACCAGCCCTCAGTCAGCCAACCAGCCCTCAGTCAGCCAATCAGCCCTCAGCCAGCCAACCAGCCCTCAGTCAGCGATCCAGCCTCCAACCAGTCAGCCAACCCTCAGCCAGCCAACCAGCCCTCAGCCAGCCAACCAGCCCTCAGTCAGCCAACCAGCCCTCAGTCAGCCAACCAGCCCTCAGTCAGCCAACCAGCCCTCAGTCAGCCAACCAGCCCTCAGTCAGCCAACCAGCCCTCTGTCAGCCAACCAGCCCTCAGTCAGCCAACCAGCCCTCAGTCAGCCAACCAGCCCTCAGTCAGCCAGCCAACCCTCAGTCAGCCAACCAGCCCTCAGTCAGCCAACCAGCCCTCAGTCGGCCAACCAGCCCTCAGTCAGCCAACCAGACCTCAGCCAGCCAACTAGCCCTCAGTCAGCCAACCAGCCCTCTGTCAGCCAACCAGCCCTCAGCCAGCCAACCAGCCCTCTGTCAACCAACCAGCCCTCAGTCAGCCAACCAGCCCTCAGTCAGCCAAGCAGCCCTCAGCCAGCCAACCAGCCCTCTGTCAGCCAACCAGCCCTCAGTCAGCCAACCAGCCCTCAGTCAGCCAAGCAGCCCTCAGCCAGCCTTTAATCAAGGGACTTGCCCTCAGTCCACCACTGTGGACAGTACTGTCCTCCACCACTGTGGACAGTACTGTCCTTCACCACTTTGGACAGTACTGTCCCCACCACTGTGGACAGTACTGTCCCCCACCACTGTGGACAGTACTGTCCCCACCACTGTCGACAGTACTGTCCCCCACCACTGTGGACAGTACTGTCCCCCACCACTGTGGACAGTACTGTCCTCCGCCACTGTGGACAGTACTGTCCTCCACCACTGTGGACAGTACTGTCCCCCACCACTGTGGACAGTACTGTCCCCCACCACTGTGGACAGTACTGTCCCCCACCACTGTGGACAGTACTGTCCCCCACCACTGTGGGCAGTACTGTCCCCCACCACTGTGGACAGTACTGTCCTCCACCACTGTGGACAGTACCGTCCTCCACCACTGTGGACAGTACTGTCTCCCACCACTGTGGACAGTACTATCCCCACCACTGTGGACAGTACTGTCCCCCCCACCACTGTGGACAGTACTGTCCCCCACCACTGTGGACAGTACCGTCCTCCACCACTGTGGACAGTACTGTCCCCCACCACTGTGGACAGTACTATTCCCACCACTGTGGACAGTACTGCTCCCCCCACCACTGTGGACAGTACTGTCCCCCACCACTGTGGACAGTACTGTCCCCCACCACTGTGGACAGTACTGTCCTCCACCACTGTGGACAGTACTGTCCCCCACCACTGTGGACAGTACTGTCCTCCACCACTGTGGACAGTACTGTCCCCCACCACTGTGGACTGTACCGTCCCCCACGACTGTGGACAGTACTGTCCTCCACCACTGTGGACAGTACCCTCCACCACTGTGGACAGTACTGTCCTCCACCACTGTGGACAGTACTGTCCTCCACCACTGTGGACAGTACTGTCCCCCACCACTGTGGACAGTACTGTCCTCCACCACTGTGGACAGTACTGTCCACCACTGTGGACAGTACCGTCCCCCACCACTGTGGACAGTACTGTCCTCCACCACTGTGGACAGTACTGTCCCCCACCACTGTGGACAGTACTGCCCCCACCACTGTCCTCCACCACTGTGGACAGTACTGTCCCCCACCACTGTGGACAGTACTGTCCCCCACCACTGTGGACAGTACTGTCCCCACCACTGTGGACAGTACTGTCCCCCACCACTGTGGACAGTACTGTCCTGTGGACAGTACTGTCCCCCACCACTGTGGACAGTACTGTCCCCCACCACTGTGGACAGTACTGTCCTCCACCACTGTGGACAGTACTGTCCCCCACCACTGTGGACAGTACTGTCCCCCACCACTGTGGACAGTACTGTCCCCCACCACTGTGGACAGTACTGTCCCCCACCACTGTGGACAGTACTGTCCCCCACCACTGTGGACAGTACTGTCCCCCACCACTGTGGACAGTACTGTCCCCCACCACTGTGGACAGTACTGTCCTCCACCACTGTGGACAGTACTGTCCCCCACCACTGTGGACAGTACTGTCCCCCACCACTGTGGACAGTACTGTCCCCCACCACTGTGGACAGTACTGTCCCCCACCACTGTGGACAGTACTGTCCCCCACCACTGTGGACAGTACTGTCCCCCACCACTGTGGACAGTACTGTCCCCCACCACTGTGGACAGTACTGTCCCCCACCACTGTGGACAGTACTGTCCCCCACCACTGTGGACAGTACTGTCCCCCACCACTGTGGACAGTACTGTCCCCCACCACTGTGGACAGTACTGTCCCCCACCACTGTGGACAGTACTGCCCCCACCACTGTGGACAGTACTGTCCCCCACCACTGTGGACAGTACTGTCCCCCACCACTGTGGACAGTACTGTCCCCCACCACTGTGGACAGTACTGTCCCCCACCACTGTGGACAGTACTGTCCTCCACCACTGTGGACAGTACTGTCCCCCACCACTGTGGACAGTACTGTCCCCCACCACTGTGGACAGTACTGTCCCCCACCACTGTGGACAGTACTGTCCCCCACCACTGTGGACAGTACTGTCCTCCACCACTGTGGACAGTACTGTCCCCCACCACTGTGGACAGTACTGTCCCCCACCACTGTGGACAGTACCGTCCCCCACCACTGTGGACAGTACCGTCCCCCACCACTGTGGACAGTACCGTCCTCCACCACTGTGGACAGTACCGTCCCCCACCACTGTGGACAGTACCGTCCCCCACCACTGTGGACAGTACCGTCCCCCACCACTGTGGACAGTACTGTCCTCCACCACTGTGGACAGTACTGTCCCCCACCACTGTGGACAGTACTGTCCCCCACCACTGTGGACAGTACTGTCCCCCACCACTGTGGACAGTACTGCCCCCACCACTGTGGACAGTACTGTCCCCCACCACTGTGGACAGTACTGTCCCCCACCACTGTGGACAGTACTGTCCCCCACCACTGTGGACAGTACTGCCCCCACCACTGTGGACAGTACTGTCCCCCACCACTGTGGACAGTACTGTCCCCCACCACTGTGGACAGTACTGTCCTCCACCACTGTGGACAGTACTGTCCCCCACCACTGTGGACAGTACCGTCCTCCACCACTGTGGACAGTACTGTCCCCCACCACTGTGGACAGTACCGTCCCCCACCACTGTGGACAGTACTGTCCCCCCCTGTGGACAGTACACTGTGGACAGTACTGTCCCCCACCACTGTGGACAGTACTGTCCCCACCACTGTGGACAGTACTGTCCCCCACCACTGTGGACAGTACTGTCCCCCACCACTGTGGACAGTACTGTCCTCCACCACTGTGGACAGTACTGTCCCCCACCACTGTGGACAGTACTGTCCCCCACCACTGTGGACAGTACTGTCCCCCACCACTGTGGACAGTACTGTCCCCCACCACTGTGGACAGTACTGTCCTCCACCACTGTGGACAGTACCGTCCTCCACCACTGTGGACAGTACCGTCCCCCACCACTGTGGACAGTACCGTCCTCCACCACTGTGGACAGTACCGTCCCCCACCACTGTGGACAGTACCGTCCTCCACCACTGTGGACAGTACCGTCCCCCACCACTGTGGACAGTACCGTCCCCCACCACTGTGGACAGTACCGTCCCCACCACTGTGGACAGTACTGTCCCCCACCACTGTGGACAGTACCGTCCCCCACCACTGTGGACAGTACTGTCCCCACCACTGTGGACAGTACTGTCCCCCACCACTGTGGACAGTACTGTCCTCCACCACTGTGGACAGTACTGTCCCCCACCACTGTGGACAGTACTGTCCCCCACCACTGTGGACAGTACTGTCCCCCACCACTGTGGACAGTACTGTCCCCCACCACTGTGGACAGTACTGTCCTCTACCACTGTGGACAATACTGTCCTCCACCACTGTGGACAGTACCGTCCCCCACCACTGTGGACAGTACTGTCCCCCACCACTGTGGACAGTACCGTCCCCCACCACTGTGGACAGTACCGTCCTCCACCACTGTGGACAGTACCGTCCCCCACCACTGTGGACAGTACCGTCCTCCACCACTGTGGACAGTACCGTCCCCCACCACTGTGGACAATACCGTCCTCCACCACTGTGGACAGTACCGTCCCCCACCACTGTGGACAGTACCGTCCTCCACCACTGTGGACAGTACCGTCCCCCACCACTGTGGACAGTACCGTCCCCTCACCACTGTGGACAGTACCGTCCCCCACCACTGTGGACAGTACCGTCCTCCACCACTGTGGACAGTACCGTCCCCCACCACTGTGGACAGTACCGTCCCCCACCACTGTGGACAGTACCGTCCCCCACCACTGTGGACTGTACCGTCCCCCACCACTGTGGACAATACCGTCATCCACCACTGTGGACAGTACCGTCTCCCACCACTGTGGACAGTACCGTCCACCACCACTGTGGACAGTACCGTCCCCCACCACTGTGGACAGTACCGTCCCCCACCACTGTGGACAGTACCGTCTCCCACCACTGTGGACAGTACCGTCTCCCACCACTGTGGACAGTACCGTCTCCCACCACTGTGGACAGTACCGTCACTGAGGCTCATTAACTCTGGTTGTTTGTTTACATAACTAACGAAGTGTGTGATGAGGGAGCTCCTCCCTCACCCTGCCTCCTCCCTCACCCTGCCTCCTCCCTCACCCTGCCTTCACCCTCACCCTGTCTCCTCCCTCACTCTGTCTCCTCCCTCACCCTGTCTCCTCCCTCACTCTGTCTCCTCCCTCACCCTGCCTCCTCCCTCACCCTGCCTTCTCCCTCACCCTGCCTTCTCCCTCACCCTGCCTTCTCCCTCACCCTGTCTCCTCCCTCACCCTGTCTCCTCCCTTACCCTGTCTTCTCCCTCACCCTGTCTTCTCCCTCAACCCTGTCTCCTCCCTCTCCCTGTCTCCTCCCTCACTCTGTCTCCTCCTTCACCCTGCCTTCTCCCTCACCCTGCCTTCTCCCTCACCCTGTCTCCTCCCTCACCCTGTCTCCTCCTTCACCCTGTCTCCTCCCTTACCCTGTCTCCTCCCTCACCCTGTCTCCTCCTTCACCCTGTCTCCTCCCTCACCCTGTCTCCACACCTGTAAGTTTCACCCCACACCTGTAAGTCTCACCCCACACCTGTAAGTCTCACCCCACACCTGTAAGTCTCACCCCACACCTGTAAGTCTCACCCCACTCCTGTAAGTCTCACTCCACACCTGTAAGTCTCGCCCCACACCTGGCTGTCACCGCACACCTTTAGGCTCGCCCCACATGTGTAAATCTCCCCCCTCAACTGTAAGTCTCACCCCACAACTGTAAGTCTCACCCCACAATTGTATGTCTCACTCACACCTGTATGTTTCGCCCCACACCTGTAAGTCTCACCCCCCACATCTGTACGTCTCACCCCACACCTGTAAGTCTTACCCCACACCTGTAAGTCTCACCCCACACCTGTAAATCTCACCCCACAATTGTTTGTCTCACCCACACCTG